CCGCCTTGTATACATAAACAAATTTTTCTAAGCATTCTATCATTTAGACAAAAAAAAAAAAAAAAACGAAAAAAGGTTATCGATTGATTAGGTTTTAATTATCTGATATTAAAGGTTATGCATTGATAATGATATTTCGCTTCTCTCGTCTTTAAGATTATCTAGTATTATAAGTCTTTCTTCTTAAGTTTAATTTTTCGATTATATTAATCGATTTAATTCCAAAATTAATTTCATATCCAAAAAAAAAAAAACTGATCTGTTATCTTCTAGTGATATGTAAAGGAAATGAATTACTGAAATGGATTACTTTATAGATTCAAACATTTCTCATTATTATATGTAGAATTTGTCTTGGAAATTGATCATTTACATAATTTATAAAAGTAAAAAACTTTTTTTAAAATTTTTAATTTTTGTTAAATTTTTACAAATTATCCATTTGATAATATTTCATTTATTTATTCGTATGATTATCTTCTAAATATTCTTTGTATTGTTGATATTTCAAATTTAAATATTACAGATTAGCTAATCTGATCACATCTCTATTCATCACTAATGGATATTTTAAAATTTCAATGAAACATTCCCTTCTCTCTCTCTCTCTCTTCCATCTTTTTTCAGAAAAAGAAAAAAAGTTTGCCTAAATTATTTCAAAAATTTCAAACAAAGATAAAATGTATCATATGAAGACGTATACGTCGAGTTTGGTTATTGTTTCTTTTTTTTTTTTTTGTTTCCCTTCTTTCTCTCTCTTTCTGTTTCTATCTCCTTCCCTCTCTCTTTTTTTGTCCTTTTTTCATGAAGAGAACTTTTCGTTTTGCTTTTTTTTTTCTTTTTTTGCGGTCACATAAAAAGAAAAAGAAAAAATCACAATTTAAAAAAAAAAAAAAAAGAAATGAAAACTGAAAAGAATGGAGAACGAATGAAAGATAATTTTCATATTTCTATTTTTTTTTTTTTTGTCTCGTTATCATTAATTCATACTGTTATTGTTATTGCTATCACTAAATTCATATTGTTATTGTTATCATTGATTCGTATTGTTATTGTTATCACTGATTCATATCGTCATTATTATTATTATCATTGATTTGTTGTGTCATAGTAACAACAAATCGAAAAAAAGAAGTCATATCGATTTTAATGGTTATTCAAATGAGTGAGTGAAGTGGCTGGTAGAAGTTAACGAAGTACATTGACACAAAGGCGGTAAAGGACACGACATCAGAGAACAGATCGATGATGATAATCCCAAAAAGAAGAAAGAAAGAAATGAATTGAGGATGAATTCACTTCTTCTACCTTCGTAATATCAAAATTGTCAAGGACTAATGAGTTTCAATAATCACAACGAATAATAATAATAATAATAATAATAATAATAATAATAATAATAATAATAATAATACATTTATAATATTCTAATCCTTTCCTTTTCATACTTTCTACTTTGTGTCATTTTTCCATTGCTCATATCGTTTGATACTTTTTTCATCTCATTAAGGTAAAACAAAAAATAAAAGTATTTTTGTTCAAAAAAAAGGAGGGAATAAGATAGTAAAGATATTTAAGTGATATATTGATAATTTCAGGATTGGAACAGATATGTTATCAAAGACTGATAATGGAAATAATTATGAATTCAAAGTTATTAAAATTTATAATCCTTCCTGAAGTTTATTACAATCTTTTCACTTCTTTTTTCTCCATTTACTGAAATTTATACAATGGAAAGTTGATGATTTCGTGATATGATCATTCTCTATGTAAGTAATATTGTGGTATATCTCAGGGGAAAACCAGTAATACTTTCCAGATGTCTGATAAAATTAAAAAATTAAAATTTTGATAAAATTTTTTTGATAAAATTTTGATAAAATTTTTGATAAAATTAATTTTTTGATAAAATTAAAATATGTAATTGAGGGAAAATTAGGATGTAATATATTTGCCAATTAACAATTTGAACTTTCACCCCTCTTCGCTCTCTTTACTGAGTAGATAGAAAGGGAAATGCTTACAAGTTCATTTGTTAAAAATTTGCTCCCAAATGTTTGAATAATTAGTAGTTGAGAAGTTATTTGTAAAAATGAAAAAAACAATTACATTCGAAAAGAAAGTATTTAAAAAAACGGAAAGAATTAAATTTAATTTAAATTCAATTTAATAACATAGACAAGTAAATGCCAAAACTTGACAACGAGAAATTAACGCTCCAAATAAGCTAAACGATACGCATTATGAGAAAATTTGAATTTGGAAATTTTTGATCGAAAAAATTTAATTTTAAAGTAATGGAATAATAATGGGAAAGAAAGAGGAAAGAGAGATAAGGAAAAAGAGAGAGAGAGAGAGAAGGGAAAAAATGAAATCAATAAGAAAATTTCAAAAATGCAATAAATGATGATATGAATGATATCATTCTTCTTCTTTTTTTTTTTTTTTCCCTGTAGAATTACTCATTATGATAGAAATAAAATTCTTAAGAAGGTGTGAATTTTGAAAGAAAAAAGAAAGCAAATGATAGAAGAGAAGAAAGAGAGACAAAGAGAAATTAGAAAAATTGAAAGAGAAAGAAGAAAAGAACAACAATTATGGGATTTGAGAAATATAATTTTTTGTTTTTATTAAATAATAATCTTCCGGAAATTAATTAAACTTTTCAACGAGAGAGAGGAAAAGGGAGAGAAGAGAGAGAGAGAGAGAGAGGAGGAA